TGTTCCAGACTGTAAAAATCTGAAAAAATTCTTACACACTTATAAAAGATTTAATAACAAGTTTTACTGTTATATAAGATTGTATTTCATTACACGGAGAGAATTTTCTCTTAGAATTTAACCTGAAAATCATGATAATAGTGGGACAACATAGTATTTCAAAGAATTGTATATGAGTTTCTTTAATTTACTAATATGTATCATAATAAGATATGTAATATATTTTATTAATTTTACTAAGCTCTCCGTGTAGTTTTCTACAGATTTAAATGTATCTATCAGAAATTAATCAAAAAGTCGACTGTGTCTTTAAAGTTCACATTGTCAACGGTTAATATCGTTATTTATAACTTACATGTAATATATACACGTATGGATTTGAACTTTAAAATTATAGCTATAACTACACTTCCTATTTATCATTAAAATAAACTGTTTTTTTTAAATAAGAAGTGATAATTTCTCTGCACTAACAAGTTTGCAGCTGTTGAATTATTGATAAGGAATATTAAACAGCATGAGCTATTTAAAGAGACAGTATCAGTTCAGTAAAGATTCACATTTCGTAGAAGTATCACATCTCATAGAAGGTTTCAAGAAATCAGAATAATGTACAACGTAAAGAATAAAACTGTAATGATCACTGGAGCAGCTAACGGATTAGGCTACAAGTACGCCGAAATACTGTTACGTAATGGTGCAAGAAGTATCGCCGTGGTCGACCTGCCAACATCAAACGGCCAGAATGCGGTAGCTACTTTAGAAAACGAATTTGGGAAGAGCCGTGTCATTTTCGTTGCCTGCGATGTGACAAAGACTGATGATTTAGAGAAGACGTTCAAGAAAATCGTCGACACATTCGAAGGGCTTGATATTCTTATTAACAACGCTGGTATGTTGAACGATAAATATTTGGAGAAAACGATCGATCTCAATGTCAAGGCACTAATTCGCGGCTCTATGTTGGCCTTCGATTATATGGGAAAGCATAAAGGTGGTAAGGGCGGTGTAATCGTGAACATTGCATCCATACTTGGATTGCATCCAGCTTCTTCCTTGCCAGTATATACCGCTTCGAAATTTGCTGTTTTGGGATTTAGCCAATCTCTGGCAGGCATGTATGACAAGACTGGAGTGCGAGTGGTTATCATGTGTCCGGGCGTTACAACAACAACTCTAATCACAAACATCAACGATAAAATCTGTGACTCCATCAACGCTGTGAACAAAGACATTGACTTAAAGAAATATCCGACACAGACAACCGACAATGTGGCACTTGCGATGTTAGAACTTATTCAGAAGGGTGAAAATCAAGCAGCCTGGGTCAGCGAAGGTGGTCAACCACCATACGCCGTGGACTTTCCCCATTATTCTAAACGATCTTTGCCAGTATAAGTTGGTACCTGATATGTTATGAATTTTTTTCTGGATACTGTAATTTTCCTCTACTGAATTACTAAATCAAAAAAAAGAAGTAAAATAGCCTAATCAAATAACAATCAATTATATATCTAACATTATGTTAATTTTAAAATAAATAATCTCATTAAAACTGATCATTTTTACAAATTGATCAAATCTACGATAATTAATATTAATAATCACACCTTTTATCTTAAAATTTCATCTTAAAATCTTAGGAATCATATATAGTTTTATATAAAATTTGTAGCAAGATGTAAACTTTGATCTTTTAATCTTTTAGTAACAATCTTTTAATTATAATTTTCATTTTAAATAAATTGTTTTATCAAATAATATTCTATAACTTCGTAATTGCAATTATAATTATGAAACGCGTTACATTCGTTAAAAATAAGCTTTAAATTCAAAAAGTACATATTTAAAAACTAACATAGTAATGTAGAATATTAATATAATCTTGTTATTATACACTTTCAAAATGTAAAATGATAAAAATATTTTATATATGTTTTATACAAATACTTATATTTTTAGTTATGTTTCTGATATGTTTTTTAAACATGTACGTAATATTTCCGAGAATGTTTCCTTTATAATAAAGCAAGATTTATCAGATACATTTTTATTTATTCTTTTTACAACATGATGTATTTTTGTGTCAACGTAAGTGAACATAAAAAGAAAAAGCTGATTACTTTATAATCTCAAAATGTCGTAGTCTCGTATATAATAACGACCAGTTCGGAATTCTCAATATAACAATAAGATTGCCTTCGTTTCACTTCTAACAATAAGCCTGGAATTTGGGATTCTATTGAAAAATAGGAACCGTTATCCTCACTCACATGCGTCTAACATACGGAAGGTGAAAAAGGTTTGTGCGGTATTTCAAGGTCCATTAATTCCACTGTCCCATAGTACAATATGTTTGAATATTTTCCAGTATAACTACTAAATTTCCAGATTCAAATAATACATATATTCACTTTGCAATGATTATACATTTTATGCATTTTGAAATTACGTGTATTTTTACATAATTAATTTTTTTTATAATAATTATATAAAATATCAATAAATAATTGGAGGGCATTATATACAAGAATATGAATACTTTTAATATAATAGTTTATGTTAACTAGCTAGATAAAGATAATAAATATAGGCAATAATAGAATTGCAAAAACAAGATATTCTTTATATATGAAGAAATTGATGGCTCTAAAAAAGCCGTTTGTAGTTTCTGCAGTTAAACTTTTTTCTCGATTTTCTTTAGCAGTAAAACTGTAGAGTAGCAACCAAAATCCAAAAAACAGCGAATGAGAGGCAGCGTGGTAATTAATACGCAATTTTAATGGCTGTTCTACAATGTGCTTTTTGTTTCCTGTTTCTTGCCTTCTTGATCAAAAAGGTAAGAGAACAAACAGCAAGAAACAGGAAACAAAAAGCACATTGTAGAACAGCCATAAATCTTCAATCCAGAAAATAGAATCTTTATTCCAAAAAATAGAATAGTACGTTTCAGTTCATTTTGGATCCTCAGCAATACAAATTCACAAAATCAAAATATTAATCCCGTCATGTCCAAGAAAAAAATCATCATCAGATAAACAGATTTGATGTTGTAATCCATTCGAAACATTAAAATTATCTTATAAATATTTCTATCCAATAAATTTCTACAGTAAAACTTTGGAGACTAGATTCTTCAATTCGTGGTTATATTATAGCGAATGACCAGTTGGAGATCCCTAGGAAAGATTTTGGTCTTCTTGTCGCTGTGAGCGTAAAATCCCACCAATTTCACCATTTCAGCAGTAAGATATTCCATCACGGCAGTTCGAGAAACCGAAGCACAAAGCACTGACATGCTTGGCGTAATTTGCTTTTCGCAGACGCCTATGGATATACAAAGCTAAATGACTTATGGAAACAATTTTTTATTTGTCTTAATTATAAAACGCTAAACATAAATATAATACGAATTTTTTTATTGCATTGTGCATATGATGGAATACAATTAAATAAGAAGTCATGGATAACTTATTATTTAAAAACTCTATAATTATAATAGGTTCTAAAAAAAACCTATAATAAATCTAATTAATATTTGAATCAACCGGTAGCAAAGCAAAAGTTTTGACTATAATTGTTTTTAATCTAAACTTTCTTTTCATGGAAAAAAAGATTACAATTCTTTATATAACAGAATTATGTACTACTTAATAAATGATTTTTTTCCATTGTCATATTCACTCTAACTGCTATATAATTGCTTCCTTTATTTTTATCGGTTATATTTAATTTTCTACAGAAAAAAATTTGTTTTCTCTTCTTAATTTCATAAACAATTTAATTGTTTTTACAAATTGATTTTTTTTTTACTATTTTTTTTACAAATTGATGTACTTGTAATCTCCACACACTTTAGACTTCACTTTGCGCTATTTATTGAGGACCTTATCTAAACGTAGTTATAATTAATTACGCATAAATTATGCATCATTAATTATATTCATTCGAATTCTCATAATAAACAATTTTTATTCTTCCACAAAGTACCGCGAATAAACTCTTATTAGCCGTTCTTTGTTTTTACATTTGACATTCTCGAGAGTTATTACTTGTTTTATTTACCTTATCTAAACATCAAGCATACCTATTGACAATGCATTTTAACTATAATTTTTATTAAAAAACTTAGGAGAAAGGGCAATAGGAATCAGGCGTAGATAAAGTCACGCAAATTCCAAAAATATAGGAAGTAAAACTTCTTTATTACAATCAAACTTTTTTACAATCAAAATCATTGTGAACAGTGTGAACTTCCTTACTCTCTTGGATATTTATCAATTATTTTCAATTAAATTTTCATTATACTTAGTTTACTATTTAAATTTTTTATCCCCTTATAGGAAATATTTTACTAGACAGTTAAGATTTATTTGAATTTCTGATTGTGGGGGAGCTCACAATGCTAGGACTTCCCTTGGTCTTCTTAGTATTTTTGTTATACATTATTGTCTCTGAAGAGGGCTCAAAAATGAGCCGAAACATGTAAGAGTATTTGATTGTAATAAAGAAGTTTTACTTCCTATATTTTTGGAATTTGCGTAACTTTACGCCTGACTCCTATTGCCCTTTCTCCTAAGTTTTTTGAATTTTAAGGAGTCTTTGTTATAGTGGTTTTGGTTTTACGTTTTTATAATTTTTATATAATTTATTAATGTAAGTTTTGCGACAAAGTTGTTACCGATTAATTAATATAAGTTGATTAAATTTTGATCAAAAATAAGACAAATGCTTATAATGCTACGCTATTTTAATCTTTATATAACATTTAAAAATTGTATTTTTCCGTTTATTTATAAAATATGAATAAACTATTACGATTCAATTGATTCTTGCTATGAAAAACAAAAATCGGCGAATCGCAATATATGTTGGAAATCCAAACAGCTGATACTGATTTAAATGAATATTGAATTAAAAACTCAATTATTCTCTGTAGAGTCTATAGTGAAAGACGCATGTCAAGTATGTCAAAACGCATGCGGCATGTCACGTGAGTTTACGAAGGTAGGTTGGGGCGGTCGGACCAAGGTAGTCTCGTAGTGTAAATTTGAATATTTCACTTCGTTGAATTATTTTCACCAAAAATAAACAGCTATCATTAACGGCTGCTTTATAAACGTATTGTTATATTACAGTTTTATATTTTAATTTGTATAACATTTTTACGTTTCTAGAAAAACACGTGTTTGAAATTTATTGCGTATTTTGGAGGTTATCTCTAAAATTAATATCAGAAATGCCCATTTTCGAAAATGTCATTTTATCAATTTTTTATAATTTTATTAATACTTGTATAATAATTATATAAATTTATATAACGTGAAGTGTGTAAAAGTATCTTTAACATGTGTGTGACATAAAAATTAATAATAAAGTGTGTTTGATTTTACTATTATATGAAATTCAATTCAATGATAACAGAGATACATGCTAATCTCTTTTATGACATTACTTTTAATAACTAATTTTTACTTTTTTTATTTTTTCTCATTTATGTTTACAGACTATCAGATATATTATTGATAATAAGATGGCGCCTAAAAATACTAACTATATCGTTTGGATTGATATGGAGGTATCGAAATGTTACAAATAACACCTATACACATTACATATATATGTATATATATATATATATATACATAATTATAATCAAGAGTAATAAAAAAAATTAATTTAGAAACATAAATCAATTGCATGATATTTTTATAGATGACTGGACTTGATGTAGATAAAGATCATATATTAGAAATTGCCTGTGTTGTAACAGATAAGAAATTAAATATTGTTAGCGAGGAATTAAATATTGTAATACATCAGTCAGATGCAATATTAGAAAATATGAATGACTGGTGTAAAGAAACTCACACAAAGGTAAACTTTTAACTTATATGAATGATGTTAATATTTTTGAACTTTTAGCATTTGCAAATTGATATATTTTGAGCTCTATAATTTAATTATTATATATTTCAGACGGGATTAGTTGAAAACTCTCGCTCAAGTACTATATCATTAGAAGAGGCTGAAAAGACAGTACTTGACTTTTTAAAAAAGCATATTCATGAACGTTCATGCCCATTGGCTGGAAGTTCGGTGTACATGGATCGTTTTTTTCTATATAAGAATATGCCATTAGTTAATAATTACTTGCACTACAGGATTATTGATGTTAGTACAATTAAGGAAATTGCTAGGTAAGAATAAGTTTCTTCTATTTTTATATAAACAAATAGAGATGCTGATATTTTTTTGTTATGCAATGTAAATGATTAATATAGGAATCTGACTTGCAATTGATGTTTAAAGCGATTTTAACAGAAAAATATGAATAAATCGTATTTTTTAGGAGGTGGAATCCAAATGTATATAATTCGATGCCAAAAAAGAGAGTAAATCATAGGGCTCTGGATGATATAAAAGAAAGCATTAATGAGTTAAAGCATTATAAAAAACATTTTTTTAAGTTTTTATAATTTAATAGTAATATTTAGTATATTGTATTTAATATTAATTTAGACAAGGTAATTTATTTATACATAATTAATATTAATTAGTAGAGGAAAGGCCCCTATTATAAGATACCGAGTTCATTTTGAATAAATGCTAGAAGTCTATGGGCAGAATTTAAAAAAGTAATAGATCATTTTGAAGGGAATTTAATAAGTTTTAAGATAACGTTATATATGTAAAATTTAATTCAAATTCCATTTTTTTTTAATTAAAGAAATGTAAAAAGTGAGCAAATCGTAAAGTCAAAAAATTGTGCTCCTAATATAAGATGCCCCGAGAAATCGATAGTAAAATGCAAAGTATATCAGTATTGCAATTAAAAAACTTTATTTCATATTTCTAAAATGCAAAGAAACACAGTCAGCATACGTGAAAAATGAGTATGCGATAGATTATACCCAGAACTCGTCTTCAGGTAGTTGGAATCAAGCATCGCAGAAATAGGTACTCGACGTTCATTCCGGTTGTCCTTTTTATTATTGTACAATAACATTTACTCTTTAGCAACAATTTCCTCTATAACATAGGAGCATGAGTTATTTTATATTAGAAATACCCTGGGGGTCTCATATTACGATTTCCACCCATTATGATTTTACGATTATCAAATCTAACTTCTGTAATTAAACAATTCAACATATCCCGTATTTTTCTATTAGTACGACTTTACTCTATCACTACATGAAGAATTTATTGCCAAATATTTATTTATTAAATAATAAACAAGGTTTAAGGCCTCATCTCAATGAAACTTGAAGACATCCAAATTCTAAAATCTTGTTTTGCAATGACTACAGGCATGATCTAATAATGAATTTTCTACTAATTAGTTTTCAATCCAAGAGCAATAAATTCATGGTGGAACCAATAGATAGCGTTTATTAGTTTAGCAGAAATGCCACTATCTCATATTAGGCGCCTATCTCATAATAAGAGGCTTTCCTCTACTTTCCATGACGAAAGTCAGGGGAAAAAGTTTCATGAATGTTTTTTGGACGCTTAAATGAATATTTGCAAGAGTTAATTGTGAGAGTAGAAATGCTCAGTAGAGTGTTTATAAAGCGGAAATTACAACGTTGCAGCGTTTGGAAAACGGAATTGAGAAAAGCGTTTTTTGGGCATCTCAAAGTTTGACAGTGAAGCTGTTTTCTGCACGAAAGTGCATCAGCGTTTACTGAGCGTCCTCTGAAAAGACTTGCTTTAGCATTACAGAACTTTCTCAGAATGAAACGATGTATTTTATAACCATTCTGAAAGTGTTTAAAACCCAATGATGTTATGTAAGCGTTCTTATAAAGTTTAAAAGCATATGAACTTTCAAAAAATCATCATTAAACGGTTGAAAACGCTTTATAAAGCTTTCTTATTTTTGTCAGGGTTTACACTTAAAAAGTTTCATATATTTATTAATGTGAAAAAGCAGTAAGAAAGTTTTAAGTTTTAGGAGAATTTAATGTCCGTTTCTATCAATGTGTAATTTAATTTTAATCTCGATTTAATACTAGAACCACGGCTGTGTCATTTTTTACCTGATTTTTCTTTTTCAATTAATTTGGATTTGTACATTTTCAGTTAAAATTTGGAGTTTTAGATTTTTGTGACTTTTCATAAATAATCATAATTACATGTCATTTTACTTTTATGGTGACAACCTTCCCTTGTAAAAACCAAATTTACCTTGAATCGCGATTGGGTTAATTTAGCCCCGCGGTTCTAGTGTTGACTAAGGGTCTGAGCACAAGAATTGTCGTAACACTTAGATTTAAGTTGTAGACGTAAGTAACGCACAAGCTTTGGCGTATGACATAGGACTTATTGCCATTTCTTGGAGACACGGCAATAAGTTATACGTGAAAGCTTGTGCGTTTATTAGTTTTGTTAATTTGTAAATTTGTTAATTTTTCATTAAAAAAGGTGTCCCATACCATTGTCAAAATCATGAATAATTTAACAATAAAAGGACAGTTCGATGCGAATCATGGCAATGTACTCAAATGTAGATGGATACCAATTTATACTGTAATAATTTTTTATATTGTTTTAAGAAAACTAAAAGATTAGCCGAAACATGTGTACTAAATATTGAGATAAAGCAAAATCATCTACAGCGCTAATTCCCAATTGCCCGTTGTCATTTGTTTATTTATTGAATTTTTTTAGTTCCAAGGGCCCTTTCCACCAATATAAGATTAATCTCAGAATTAAAAAAATAAAGAATAAATTAAATCCAGATTAAAATTAATCTTATGTTAGTAGAACTGGACCTAAGTAATTAGAAAAAGATGGAGTTGAATCGAGAATAAATTAAGTAATCGAGAATGGATTAAAATGGATTGAAATTTTTATACATATTTTATGTCCAATCGAATCTAATTGAATAAAAAGAACTTTTTATTGGATTTAATTGAAATGAAAAACTGTGTATTTCCTATTCAGAATTTTGAATTGAGCAATATATATGTATAGAAGATGTGAAGATGACAGTAGATACATAGAAAAGACTGCTGACATTATTTTTAAATTGAAAGGCATAGAAATGCGTTTCATGCAATTCCTGTAAATGAATAAAAACGCATTTAGATTGAAAAGGATTTATTTTAATATTTGCGCGAATACATTTCTGAAAATCTGAATCCAATTCAATCCATTATTCTCGTTTGGGAAGTTAATTGTATGTTGAACGAGGTATTAGTTTAGATTTGTGAATCGCGTTGTGAATAAATGTATGAATATAATGTGAATTAAGAATTATTTTTTAATGGACATAATAAAAACTCAATAAAACGTAGCATAAATTTTATTTTTATACGGATATCTGCACAAAATTGAAGCTTTTAGGTTCGATTCCACATAAAAATAAAATTAACTTTAATTTCGGTTTTAATTTTCTATCTTTTTCTAATTCTTGGCAATAGAAAAAGTAACCCGATCGGGCCGAAAACGCTATAAGTTAACTGAGCTTGATAAAAATGGCCCTGAGCGCATCTATCGTCAAACAAAATGACAAATGAGATTGATCAATTTCGATGGACTAATCGACCGATTAATAGCGTATTCGATTACTGAGTCGACCCGACTCTGAGTCAACAGTCTGTTCTTTTTAGCTGCATTTCTTACACAATTTAGCTCTTCTTTTGTAGCTAAACAGAACAGACTACTGACTCGAAGTCGGGTCGAGTCAGTAAATCGAATACGCTATATGTTAAACCAATATTAAAATTAATTCTACATTTGTGAACCGGGCCTTACAGTACGTATCAATCAATAAGCGCGCTAGAAACTGAGCAACGAATCTGTTTACATGACGCGACAACAGCGTTGTCCACGCTTTTCAAAGGCTGCGTTCAGTTTATACTGCTCACATGTTTTAAATTTTAAATCATCCTGTTTTTATCGTTTATTATTAAATAAACAAGAATAGAAGCATTAGAAGTGTCCAAATCGAACGCATCTCTTTTATATTAAATTCATATGATTGGCTGTCGTCAAAAAACGCAAAATGATGGCAGCATTCAGCAGAGAAATCAGCTTAGCAATTGTTGTAAAATTCTTTGATGTGATTGATCTTGCCCTTAATTCCTCGTTGGATCTAAATATATGATAACCAATCATAAACTACGTTTATACAGCAGAATTTGACCAATTACAGTCGAATACGAGGAGAATAATTGACTGTGATTCGTCCATTTCTTATGGCTTAAGGCTTAAAAACCTATTGTAGATCCGGACTTATGGCAAAGGACCGATTGTTTCATCTTTTGGTAAATTTTACCTGTTAGGTAAGGGTCACTTTCACCAAGCTCAGTTCACTTAAGGGGATGCTAAACCGATTATCCAACTCAATCAAGGTCGATAGTACAGACTTTTTTAATTCCAATTTCGAT